ATGATCAACCTCACTCCTTACAAATCCTTCAGTCACAAAGAAAGTATCAATGCGTTGATACCATGCCCTTAGAGATTGCTTTAGTCTATACAAAGATTTATTTCAACTTACAAACAAGATGTTGATTGCCATATTCAATAAATCCTTGAGGTTGATCCATGTAGATGTCTTCTTTTAAGCTTCTATTCAAGAATGTCATCTTCACATCCATTTGATGCATCTGTAAGTTCATTGCTGCCTCAATTGCCACAATGGTTCTAATGGTGGTGAATTTGGCCATAGGAGCAAATGTCTCATTAAAATCAACACCAACAACTTGTAAATAGCCTTTGGCAACCAATCTAGCCTTGTATCTCATAATATTATCCATTGCATCTCTTTTGGTTCTAAACACCCACTTACAACCAATTGAAGATCGATTTGGTGGAAGTTGAGTCAATTTCCATGTTCCATTATCCATGACTGATTTGTATTTTTCTTCTATAGCATTCTTCTACTTGATAGCATCCGTGGACTTCATTGCATCACACAAACTTAATGGATCAGCAAGAAGAGCAACATTGGCATGTTCTTCACTTACTTGAAGAAATATGTGGTTCTTTTATTATTCACTATGAGGTTTTCTTTCTCTCAAAGGATATCTTCTTTCATTTGGAGAGGCTTCATCTTCTTGCACTTCATGCTCTCTTCCAAGCTTCTTCTTCCTTAAAGTTTTTTTTTTTTCTCTCTTAAAGGTTAATATTCCTCATCATCATCATTATCATCAATATCTTCATTGTATTCATTGCTAGTTCTAACAATCAAAGGCATACTATGGTCTACCTTCTTTGGCACTTCACCTTGATTTGCATTTCGGACATCTTCATTGTCACCATCATCTTCTTCTTTTTCTTTCTTTGCTAAAATTGATGATGTGTCTGCAAACACACCATTATTCCTACTTGGACACATCTCCAAGTGCTCAAAAATACTCTTATGCTCCAAAAACTCAACATCATGACTTTTGATGATCTTCTTGGTTTGTAAACACATTAGCATGTATACCTTTGTATCTTCATAATATCCAACAAATACACATTTTGTACTCTTTGCATCAAGTTTGGACTTCATGTAATTTGGTACCTTTGCATAAGCAATGCATCTAAAGAACTTTATGTGTGAAACATAAGATTTCTTGCCACTCCAAGCTTCTTGTGAAGGCATTGATGTGAATGCACTTGTAGGGCACCTATTCCTTATGTATACTAAAGTAACCACGGCTCCAGCCCAATATTCTTGCCCAAGGTGTTGTGTATGAATCATACTCCTTGCTATCTCTACAATGGTATGATTTGGTCTTTCACCAATTCTATTTTGTTGTGGAGTGTAAGGAGTAGAGGTTTATCTTGCAACACCTTGAATCTTTAAGAATTCATCAAAATGCTAAGACATGTATTCACCTCCATTGTTTGTATACAATACTTTGATCTTGCACTTAGATTGCTTCTCTATAAGAGCTTTAAACTCCTTAAACCTTGAAAAGTACTCACTCTTAGCTTTTATGATGTAAATCCATACTTTTCCTGAAAAATCATCAATGAATGTAACAAAGTATCTTGCTCTTCCAATTGATGGTGTCTTCATTGGTCCACAAACATCAAAATACACAATCTCTAATAATTTGGTTGCACGTATTGCAACTCCATTTGAAAATGAACTCCTTTGTTGTTTGCCTTGTATACAACCTTTACAAGCAAGTGTCATGGCATTGTAGCTGAAATGGCCAAGATTCAAGCCACTTACCATGGATTGAAGCTCCTTCATGCATTTGGCATTCAAATGATGAAGTCATTGATGCCATATTCCAAACTTATCTTGATCTTGTGGAAAATCAACAAATGCAGCCACTTCAACTCCATTCACCTTCTTACAATTAATGAAGTAGAGATTTCCATCCCTAAGGCCTTTGACAACATATTGTCCACCCATTGTCTTCACAAAGCATCTATTTATGTCAAATTGAACCTTACAACCATGTGATATAAGTTTGCTCACCAAAAAGAGGTTCTTTTTCATCTTTGGTACATGTAGGACTTCCTTAAATCTGATCCTCTTGATTTGGCCCTTCACAACAATCTCCATAATAATTGAGCCAATTCCAATGGCCATTGTCTCCCAACCAAACTTTGGTTACTGGAATTTCTTCATAAGTATCAAATGAACACTTTATATAGTGTCATGTACTTAGTAGCACCTGAATCAATAATCCATTTAGACATCACAGCCATAGAGGCTCTTTCACTTGCCATGAAAGCATAGTCATCTTCACCAAAGTTATCACAAGCATTGTTTGCATTCTCTCTATCTCTTTTCTTGATTTTGTAGCAATTCTTAACAAAGTGACTTGTTTTTTTATAAATATAGTAATTTCTCATGTTGTTCTTTGAATTATTACATTGATGAAAAAAGCTATCTTTGTCTTATCTTGAGAATAGAGCCAAATCTTCACTTTGATGCTCTTTTTCTTTTCTCTTGGTTACTTCATGGGCAAGTCTTGACGTGACATAATTCATAGTAAGCTCCTTCATGTTGATGGACTCCAATGCCACAATGAGGTAGTTGTAGGACTTGAAAAGGTCATGAATAATGTCAATACAATTTCTCTATTATCAACTAATATATCAACAACTGCTAGTTGGTTTGCAAGTGCTTTTATCTTGTTGACATGAGCCATGAGGTCATCTCCTTCTTCTATCTTTACTGTTAAAAATTTCTTTTTTGTCCATAGAATGTTGGTAAGATTTCTACTCTCATAGATATTGCAAAGAATCTTCTATGCTTCCGACGGTCTAGTGCAAGCAATTACATGTGAAAAATTAGCATCATCAAGATATGTTGCCATCATGCCAAAAGCCTTCCTTTCATGTCATTTGCTCTCCTTCTTTACCTTTACATCAGCATTGTCACTTGGAGGGTCTTCACTTTCATCAACAATATGCCAAAGGTCTAATAAAGCCAACAAAAGCTCTACTTTCTTCTTCCAATGGTAGAAGTTGTTACCCCTAATTTTCTCAATTACTCTCAAATCCTCACCATCACTTGTAGCTATATCTAAGAAAGTGGTGTATGAAAGTAAATCAAGAAAAAGGAAGAATGAATCTTAAAAAACAACAAGAAGATGTTGTTGCCTTAGAAACCTAGAATGCTCTCTTAATGAGTAAACTATTATTTATACTCTTCAATCACTTTCAACTTTACTTATAAGACTTCTCACAAGTCTGATAACCTCTTGAATAAGCTTTGCCTTTCTTTAATCACCTCTCTTCTTTCACAAAATACTTCTAACCTCACAAAGCACAAAGTTAGAGCACCAATGATGAAACTAACTAAGGAAACAGAACACAAGTATCTTTAAACATCAATCTAAGGTATCTAACAACCTCTAGGAATATGAATGCACCTAACAACAAGTAAGTTCATAACTACATCAACAACTAAATGCAAAAAGAGATTTAGAAGATACCAAACTCTAACATCAGCAACAACCATAAGATCTACTCTTAACACCAACAAAGACTTCAAAGAACTTTAAAATTCACAACTAAAGGTGAGTGGACCCATAACCTATTTAAAAACAAGCACTTTGAAGTCACAACACTTAGCATCAATAAGATTGTTCACAAAAGGTAATATGGAGTAAGATAACTCTTACTTCCATCTCTTGTTACTTATAGGTGGTAGTTGCCAACCAACAAGGCAACTATCATCGAGATTACATCCATTTCTACTTCATCCAACTAAATCCTAGGTTCTTTCTTAACCTAGCCACCACCTACAAATCCTAGCTGCCACCTACAAATCCTATAAGCTACCATAATTCGAGGGACCTGGGTGGATGGAATGCGGACTTGGCAATACCATCTTACTTGGTGTCCACGTGGATGATCGGACCGAGAGCAGAAATTCGGAGCAAAACCTTCGTCACCCTCCAAAAAGTGCGGGAACTGAAAACAGCCAACAAATTTTTCCTTACCCCACTCATGGACCAACTCACATTTTCCTTCTGCTGATACTAATCTAGGACATTGTTGAACCAAAATTGGGAAAAAATTAAAATTTAAGAAACCGTGTAACATGCAGATATATCAGAATATGATATTATTTAAATCTATTCCTCTAACAAATACAAAACTCGTTCGCTAGTCAAGTGTAGTATAATGTGTCAAAAATTCTTAATTCTTGTCAGTTGACGGTAATTTCTCATATTCCGAAGGGGGAACATACGATAAAATACAATACATATAAACCCTAAAACTAAACACATACATACTTCCAGATGTAGGTAAATTTCTTTACATGATTACTATATCAAATACATAACATCATAAAAACTATTTGGACAGGGAGCTCTCTGAGACAACAAGAACCGAAAGGAAACCCGCACATAATTGGTCTGTGACGGCAGGATGGTAGGGGCCAAGAGGAAAATGTGTGGGACGTGCCGGTGTGAACACGACCAAAAAGAAGAGGAAGAGGAAGAGGAAGACAGAGAAGAGAAAGAGAAAGAAAAAGAAGAGAAGCAGAAGAAAGCGAGCACCAAGAAGAGGGCGCCACGTCACCTCGGGAACTCCCACAGACGCTGCGGTGTGGAGGGTGGGCAGTGCCTGTGGCCGTGGGGTAAAACTGGAAACAGGGTGGGACCGAGTGGGAAAACGTGCGGTCATTCTCCCAGCGAGCCGAGGCAAAATCCACCCATCTACGAAAGCGGGGCCGCAACCCAAAATCTGCGCAGAGGGAACAACCAGAGGCAGGCGAGGTGATAGATGGCGGAGGCTGAACCAAGTAGAGGGGGGGGGGTAGCACGTTCCGAATCAGGGAAAAGCCAAGATGATGATGATGATGATGAAAGCCAGGGCAGGGATGAGTTGCGTCCATCTACCCATCCATCCATCCATCCATGTGAGTGCCGAATGCTGCTGCTCGCTCGTCCCTTCGAAGGCGGGGCGTGCCCCTGTGGAGCATGGCAGCGACACTGCGAGCCGAGGGGGGCGTGGACGTCTCTCGCTACTCATACCCATACCATTCAGAGTCCTTTCCCTTCAAGTTTCCGGTGCTGGAGCTCCCTAACCCTAGACAGCGCCTGGCCCCGCTCGCTCATTGTGTGTTTTTCCTCGCCGGGGTTTGAGAGGTTTCGGTCATGTCGGGACGGAAGGCTTTGGCCGCTGCGCTGCGAGCCGGCTCGCGCAGGCTCTCCTCATCGCCCCAGCCTCCTAAGGGCGCTAGATCATTTTCCCCCAATGCCTCCAATGGCAGGGCCGTTGCGAATGCGGCCGCCAAGGGGTTGTCCAGATCGATTTTCAACAGTGCGAGGGCTGTGACGCCCGCCCTGGCCCGTGGCATGTCGACGGACAACAAATCTACGGACTTCACCGGCGCTGGTAGCGTTGGTTCCATCGCGACTGTGATCGGAGCCGTGGTGGACGTGAAGTTCGAGAAGGGGCTGCCCCCCATCTTGACAGCTTTGGAGGTGCAGGACCACAATCTTAGGGTCGTCCTGGAAGTGGCGCAGCATTTGGGTGAGAACACTGTACGGACAATCGCCATGGAGACGACAGACGGGCTTGTTCGCGGACAGCGTGTGTTGAACACCGGTTCTCCTATTATGGTGAGGAAGTCAGTTGAGCTGAGTAGTGGATGTGAGTGTTTTTAGGTCGGATGTTGGGTTGTTGAATTTTTCGGTGTGTTGGTTCAAGGGTTCACATCTGCCCTTTTTGGTACACTGTGGTTGTTTGAATCAGCGGTCCCGGACGCCACTGGGATGGTTATCATATTTGACATTATTGCGAACGGTGGATTGTCGTTAGCGAATGTTGTGGTAGTTGAAAATTTGGGTCACGGTCACAATGGAGGTTACTAGTGCGTGCTCCTGATGTGCTTGCACGGTGACATGATTTTCAGCGTGTCGACGTACAAAGAATTCTAGAATTTGTGTACCGGATCCTCGAAGCTCATGAATGCATTTTAGGTTAGCTAATGTATTTAGTTTGGTAAGCAGTTAGGGTTTAATTATTGTAGCTTTTCCTGGGTGTTCATGTATCTAATATTCGAGTGTGATTTGCGTACTTGCGGATATGAATTGCTTTGTCGGACCGCTTTTTTCATCTCCTTCTTGGTGCTTGGTAGTCTAGTGTCCTTCTGAGGTGGACCAGGAGGTTTCAAACTCGATATATGTGGTGAGGATTGCGTGGTGCGAGAACATCCAAAGTATGAGCGTGAAAGCGATGTTGAATCGAGCTCTTAAGTTGACATTGTAAATGTTCAGGTCCCTGTTGGTCGTGCAACCTTGGGCCGCATCATCAACGTCATTGGTGAAGCTATCGACGAGAGAGGCGATATCAGTAAGTGCACGATTCATGGGTTCAAGCGCTATCTGCAGTGGATGTTCGTGTGTGTTGGTGCCTACCATCTCGTATTTCTGTTTCGTTGATGAGCTCTGCGGGAAACCGAGTCCTGAGGGTGGCGGTGGCGGCTTGCAGGCAGGGAGCATGTGCTTGGAATCCATCGCGAGGCCCCCGCTTTCGTGGATCAAGGAACGGAGATGGAGATTCTGGAGACTGGAATCAAGGTCGTTGACCTGTTGGCGCCGTACCAGCGAGGTGGTAAGATTGGGTTGTTCGGCGGTGCCGGAGTGGGGAAGACGGTGCTGATCATGGAGCTGATCAACAACATCGCGAAGGCCCACGGAGGTTTCTCAGTGTTTGCCGGAGTGGGAGAGCGCACCCGAGAGGGTAACGATCTGTACAAGGAGATGATTGAGAGTGGTGTTATCAAGTTGGGCGACAAGCAGGTGAGATCTTGTGGGCGGTGGTGAGCAGTAGTTGGTGATAGTTAGACTACGATTCCATTGACGAATGTTATTCATGTTATCCTGTCTGTCATGTATCTTTTTGTAATTTTGGTATGAAAATGAATAATTTGTGGTGGTGTGATTGCATCATTCGGTATTCTCTTCCGGAGAACAATGAGAAGTTGATGGGTTTGGTTGGGGCAGATGGAGAGCAAATGCGCTCTGGTATACGGACAGATGAACGAGCCCCCTGGTGCCCGTGCCCGGGTTGGACTGACTGGTCTGACAGTGGCAGAACACTTCCGTGACGCTGAGGGACAGGACGTGTTGTTCTTTATCGACAACATTTTTCGTTTCACTCAGGCCAACTCGGAGGTGTCTGCTTTGTTGGGTCGTATTCCATCTGCAGTGGGGTATCAGCCGACGCTGGCGACAGATTTGGGAGGTCTGCAGGAGCGTATCACGACGACACAGAAGGGGTCGATCACCTCAGTGCAGGCCATCTACGTTCCCGCTGATGATTTGACAGACCCTGCCCCTGCGACTACGTTTGCTCACTTGGACGCGACGACAGTGCTGTCTCGGCAAATTTCTGAGCTGGGTATCTATCCGGCGGTGGATCCTTTGGATTCGACATCCCGGATGCTGTCCCCGCGTATTTTGGGAGAGGAGCACTACTACTGTGCGCGAGATGTGCAGAAGGTGCTGCAGAACTACAAGAACTTGCAGGACATCATTGCCATCTTGGGTATGGACGAGCTGAGTGAAGATGACAAGTTAACAGTGGCGCGTGCAAGGAAGATGCAGCGATTTTTGAGTCAGCCATTCCACGTGGCGGAGGTGTTCACAGGTTCGCCTGGAAAGTACGTGGATTTGAAGGACAGTGTTTCAGGATTCCGGGTGAGTTATGTTTGCTCTTGAACCGCTATGTTTTGTGGATCAAACGTGGTTTGTATGTGACGCTGCATGGTTTATTTTAGAGCATTTACTGGCACCCTAAACAAGGGTTTTCTTCCGCACAGGAAATGTTTGCCGAGGTTAGATTGTACTTGATGCGTAGAGTAACGAAGTAGGGTTTTTGGGTTTTTGATGGTGCGATTCCTGATGAGACATCGCCGATGTGCAGGGTGTGTTGGATGGTAAGTACGATGATTTGCCTGAGCAAGCTTTCTACATGGTTGGCGGTATTGAGGAGGTTTCGCAGAAGGCTGAGAAGCTGGCCAAGGACATGGCTTAAGCGAGTTTTTGCGACATTCTTTGCCTGTTTACACACCCACCTGGCTCATCCTCTAATTTGCCAAATGTTAGTTTTAAAATACCCAAGCAGCGCACTGGATGGGCAGCGTCAGATGCATCGCTCTCTTTGATAAGTACCAGAGTTTGCAGCCACTGTAGCGTTTCTTTTCCTGTTTCTTTCTGTGACGTCATTGGGAAGAGGATATACAGTAGTGGTGAACTTTGCCCTGATGTTTCCTTTTCAAGGCTGTTCTTTTAAATTAAAACATGGTAGTTGCCATTGCATAAATAATATATGGTGGGTTGTACTTGTGACCACGGCAGTTCTTTTTGCTTAGTGTTAGATGGTGAAGCTTTCGGCTGAACATTTTCGTTTAGCTGAGTTTTTTTCGGTAGTGATAGTTTTATGCAGTCAGTCGTGCAAGTTGGTTCAAGCATCTGCCAAATAAAATGTGCCGACATCTAGCCTCTGTGCTGGGATTTGAGCATCACAAATATTACTTGTGCGTTTTTTGTCTGATTCTGGTGTTTTTGTTGAGCTTGATTTTGAAATGCCGGTCGTGGTAGTGTTTAAACATGCATAGTTCAAGCTAGATTTTTTGATTACGCGGCTGAGCGAGTCAGTTTTCATTGAGATCTGGGATCGTTTATTTGAATGAGACTCTTTTACATCTTGTTACCGAATTCTTCTAATGAATTGAATCTTGTGGGCGGTGGTCTTTTCCTCACGACATGAAAGGCTTGACTTACTACTTATGCATAGTCATGCTACTTGTAGTTAAAGCTTTTGTAAATGTCATGAAGTCGTGTTTTATAATGATTTACAAGCTGAATGTGTCGTGATGTTGATTTGCTTCGAACTTGTAGTAATGGGTCGGTTCGATCAATAAGTTGTATTTGTTTTTTGTATCTCTTATTACAAATGTGGATTTTGTGTTAAGCAAGAATAAATAAAAAGAAACTACTATTTTTGTTAATTCTAATTTAATCTTAATATGATGCAATAGTCAGCAGTTGATGACGTTTCTATTAATGAATAAATGAATGCATTTGAATGCATAATTGACAGAATATATTGAGATGGTCAGACTATTGTTGGATTGGAATTTAATAAAGGATTATTTATCTCTAAATAATTTATGTAAATACTACTATGGCACATATACTTCTGTTTTGTTCAAACTCATCACAACATTTTTGCTATGTAACATTTTAGAATTGAGAAAGCAATAATGTTTAAATCCAAGGCTGAATGATGATGTTAAATATAGATGGTTGTAAAGAAAGTGAATTGATTTTTTGTTCTATATACAAGAGTCAAAGATCCAAGGTATTCACCACTTAGTGTTCTCCAACCATTTCTTATTCTAAAGAAACCATAGTTATTAGAAGATATCAATGTAAGAAAATGTCTCTAAGAAAAACTGATAGATAATTGAGAAGCAATTAAGAGAATTTATGTGGAAACTACTACGGAATGTAACTTATTATAGAGATAGAATGAAGATGGAATATAATTGAGTGCATGGAAGATAAATCTAAAATTTATGGGCTCCACCTTAATCTACATTCTTTAATTGTTTTTTTTTGTTTTAATAAAAAAATTAATCATTATAAAAAGTTAGAAAAGCAAACATTGATATATCAATTTAAAGAAATTCTATATGTTCTAATAGAATCATACATGTCCTTAGTTTGTGTGTGTTGCTTTGATATTTGGTAGGTTGTTCTCAACTTGTGTCCATTACAATGCTTCAGTGGATTGTTCTCCATTTATTTATGTTATACCATTTTAGTGGATTCTTTTCTATTCAAGTCAATTGCATTTCTTAGGTGGACTCTACTATTATCTTTTAATTGCACTATTAAAAAGTATTCATTGTTGTTGATTAAATAGTTTTAAAATGTTATTGTTTCAATTCTTTGGTACTTGTTGCTTGTTTTCAAGTAAAGAGGCGCAATTTTCAAGCCTCTCTTTGAATCTTATAATTTGCAAATGTTATTGTATGTTTGCTTGGATGAAAAAAAAAAAAATTTAAATCTTTTTTGAATTTTTTATATTGCAATTGTTTGTTGTCAATTAATATTTAATGTTTAACTTCTTGCAAAACTTTTCTATCAAAGAAGACTATATATTTGGTAAGTTTTAGACTTCTTATTATTTCAATTGTTTCTTACTCTTAGTATTGTTGCCCACATGTTTGTTTGTTGTGTATATTTTGACTTGTGTTATTTTTTTTTGTTTTATTTTTTTTTTAATTTTTTGCTTATTATTTACTTGGTAATAAAAAAAAATAATGTTTCTTGTAGATAGAATGGAATTTTTTTTGATTCAATTTTTGTTACTTATAGTCTTCTTTGCAACTAAGATGAACATTCTTTTATACTATTTAGGAATCAGTCTGTATTACTAAGTTCTCAAAGTTACATTATGTGTCATTTTCTAAATATTGTTAAAAATTCATTGTATATACCAATGTATTCTATCCAAAAAAATATTGATGTGTATATTAAATGATGGACTATCATTTTATACAAAATAATATATATAAATACAAATGCAATATTTAAAATTGATACTATAAATCTAAAGGTTCATAGTTAAAAACTACAACGGTTTTTTTTAGAGAAATTTTCTTGGAATTATCAATTGGATTCATTAAGCTTTATTTTCCATAGATTAGAGTGAATTAATAGAAAAAAATTAATAGATTTATTTTTCTAATTATTAAAATATATCTTTTAATTTATTTAGTACTTAATGCAATAGTAATTTTTGATCTTTTTATTTTAAAATAAAAAACTTATATATATATATATATATATTTGTCTATTTTTTAATGTATTTTGTATCAAATTGAATTTCAAATTTTAACTTATTATGTTGTATATATTGATTTTAATTACAAAATATTATTTTTCAAAAAAAAAAATAATGATATATTTAACAAATATCTATATGATTGAAGTCAAAAGAAGTACATAGAACCATACAAAATATGTTAGATAAATAATATCTTTCTCAAAAAAGCTCACAAGAAGTTTCCTAAATATTGAATATATATTTAGATTCTTATAGATATGCCATGTAGCTATTGAAACTTATTTATAAGTTTTTTTACTTTTAAAAAATTAAATTAAAAGTAACTTAAAACTTGATGCTTTGGCTATTGTCAAGGACATGAATTTTAAAGAAAGAAAATCTCAATACATTCTTATGTTACTTGAAAAGATTAAGAAATCACCTTATATCATTTATGCCACATCCGTTTCTAATGGTACAAAGACTTCAAGTGGTATTCCAAACCAATATCACGATTTTCAAGATATATATGAGAAAAAAAATACAAATACTTTTTCAAAATATCATTCCTATGATTGCTCATTTGACCTTCAAAAAAGATCACAACTACCATTTGGATCAATCTACAATTTATCTCAAAATGAATTGGCCGAATTTAAGGAATATATTGAAGAGAATCTAGTCAAGAACTTCATATGCCATTTCAAATCTCCAGCAAGAGCTCCAATTCTATTTGCAAAGAAAAAAGATAGATCATTATGGATGTGTGTTGATTACCAAGGATTGAACAAGATCACCATCAAAAATAGGTACCCACTACTTTTAATATCTAGACTTTTTGACTATTTGAATCAAGCTAAGATCTATACAAAAATAGATCTACAAGGAGCATACAATCTGGTATACATCAAAGAAGGAGATGAATGGAAGACTACATTTTGAACCAAGTACAGATATTTTGAATATAATGTCATGCCTTTTGGACTTACATATGTACTAGCAACTTTTCAACATCTTATAAATGATGTTTTTCAAGAATTTTTGGATGATTTTATTGTCTATTATTTAGACAACATCTTAATTTATTCTAAGAATATAGAAAAATATGAACTTCATGTTAGTTGTGACTTACAAAAATTAAGAGATGTAGGACTCTATGCTAAGATAAAAAAAGTGTGTATTCAATACTACTCAAGTTGACTTCTTACGTTACATCATTTCATATGATGGGCTTATCATGGATCTTAAAAAAGTTTAAATGATTATGGATTGCAAGATTCCAAAAACAGTCTAAGATGTCTAATATTTTTTGGAATTTACCAATTACTATCGGATTTTCATCAAAGACTTCTCTTGAATTGTAACTCCACTTACATGTTTGAATTATAAAGACAAACTTAAATAGAATCACAAAGCAGAAGCAACATTTGAAGCTTTAAAGACAACCTTTGTTTCTATACCAATCTTGTATCATGTTGACTTTTTTAAGGCATTTTTTGTGGAAACATATGCATTGGACTTTGCTTTGGATGTTGTATTATAACAAATAGGAATAGATGATAAACTTCATCCAATAGCTTTTCATTCTAAAAAAATTTTAGCAGCCGAGATTAATTATACAATCCACGACAAAGAGCTTCTTGCAATTGTAGATTCTTTCTATGAATGGCATCATTATCTAGAAGGCACTTCCAGTTAAGTCACCATATATACAGATCATAAGAACCTCAAGTATTTCATGTTAATTCGTATTTTGAATCATTACTAGGCTCATTGGAGCATGTCTTTGTTAAGATTTGAGTTCAATATCACTTATTGGCTACGGAAACAACAAGGTTTGTTTGATGTCCTTTCTAAACGTTCTTATTTTGCATCTAAAGAAGGAGATGCACCTTTTGATCAACAAAAGATAATTTTATTGAAGCCAGAATAATTTCATCTTCAAGTAGTGAAATCAATATTGATTGTTGATTCAACTTTTTTCAAATAAATTCAATCAAGTATGTCCTCTGATTCTCTTGTTCATGATATCTAGAATATTTCTTCTAAGTCTTGTGATACTTCTAAGTTTGAATTCAAGAATAATCTATTTTATTTTGAAAGATGCCTATATATGCCAAAAAGAGAAGCTCATTTACTTGTTCTTCAAGCACATCATGACTTTCTAGTAGCACGAAATTTTAGATACAACAAGACTTTGGAACTAATATCTAGAGATTTTTGGTGGCCACAAATATAGAAGGCTATAAAAGACTTTGTTCAATTGTGTGATATTTGTTCAAGGTCAAAAATTCCTCCACATCAATCTTATGGACTTTTTCAACCATTACTTATTCCAAAACGACCATGATCTTTTTTTTCTATGGATTTTATTATGAATCTTTTAATCTCAGGATTGTGTGATTCTATATTTGTGATACTAGATCATTTTACCAAAATGGCATATTTTATACTATGCACAAAATCTATCACAGGTGAAGAAACTACCAAGTTTTTCTTTGATAATATCTATCAATATCATGGATTGCAAAAAGATATTATATTGGATAGGAGGACTCAATTTGTATCAAGATTTTAGAGAATTCTTTTTAAGATTTTAAAGATGGATATAAAGCTTTCTTCGGCCTTTCATCCTCAAATTGATGGACAAACAAAGCATGTAAACCAAGTTTAGGAGCAATACTTAAGGTGTACCATCAATTA